TTTGCTGCTCCACTAATCTTACTTCCCTTTTTAAACTTCTTCATCTCAAGTCTACATTGTCCAAGTTTTTCTTCGTGCGCCTGTGCTCTACATCAGCAAAGTAAACAAGGCGATTCCGCCTCATCCACACACAGAATACAATGAGAGATAATATGACTCATATTGCCCCCTTTCGTGGGTTACACAAGTGATAGTCTAGGATATGCCCTCCAAAGGGGACAAATGCCACCCATGTTGATGACCAGTAATGATATCCTTTTCTTCATCGAAAAGACTGCTGAGTTCTTGGCCTATGTCATATTGTGTTACAGCAACCTCATTACGCCTGTCCCATCGGATGTCTGCAGCTACTGCCAAAACGTCGTCACAACATCCACCAATGTCGTGGCCTGCAGAAGCATTTGCGTGATAGCAATGTCAAGGCTTGAGCTGCGTGGTACCAGCAGCTACCGGGCGAACCCGTACAATCACAACCAACGCAATGACAACCGTGGTGGTGGATCACGGCATCAATGTGGCCGTGGCGGAAATCGCGGTAACAACAGCAACAACAGCAACAACAATAACCCCTAGTCATCTCGCCTTGATGAAGGGGTTATGATCCGTATCGTCGCAAGGAAGCTCTAATCGCAGTAGTGTCCGAGGTTCAGACGGTCACCTCGGCTGTCAGTCTCCAAGCTGAAGCCAATACTGACCTTGATACCAGCTGGACCATCGATTCACGATGCAGCAGTCACGTGACGCAGCACGCCGAATGGTTCAAGCCTAAGACTGCAGCGAGTGGAGGCATTAACGTTGGTGGAAAGTCGCAAATACCAATTGAAGCAGTTGGCATGGTCCAGATCCTGATATGTGACTCCAAGTGGACTGAGCGGACGCTAGTACTCCACAATGGCCACCTTGCTCCCAAATTGTAGTACGACCTACTCTCGGTTGCTGCTGGTGTCGATGACCACTTCAACTTCAAGCGTACTATGTGCATGGTCCAGACCAACCAACTCTTCAGCATTAAGCCGATGACATCTGCGACTTCGAAGCTGTACCAGTTCACAGCACTTCCGGTCCAGAAGGAAGAAGCTCACGTTGCTACAACAGGTAAACAAAACGAACTTATGCTACTACACAAACGTCTCGGACAGTGTATTACAGGCG